TCGAGTGGGACCAAGATGGACAATGCCATTCCTGCCAGAGGTGGTCGCCGGTGCTGACGACGATTGAGGCATCATGGGGGTCGGTAGGGGCGGCCCAGGCAACGCCGGCCTTCACCTTGGCCATTGCTAGAGACCAGATCATGCACGTTGATGCGTTGGGCGCGTCTACCGACTACGCCGACACCGCCCCCTTCCGCTGCTACGTACTGCTCCCCCGAGCCAGACCCGCTGGTGTTGGAGATGTGCATGAGCGCAGGGACACCCACGTGGGTAGACCCAATGCTAGAGGAGCTCGACGCCTCACTTGTTGTGAGTCGGCCAGAAGGAGCACCGACGCCTAGGTGCCAATCTACTCAGGCGGTCGTCCCTCAAAAGGTTGAAGCATCGATGGTGGACATCCGTTCTCTGGCGACGGCTCAGCGGGTGTCGGACTTGTCTATGTTGTCGCCGCAGGGGCTACCACAACTCACGCCACCACGGGTGGGGCAATCTGGAGTTGCATATGATATCACAGTGGGCACACCCACTCCGAGCGACGCGACGCCCATGCCAGGTGAGGTTGTTCGGCGTCTCGCACACGGTTCACTAAGGAGGTGCAGCTCAAGCCAGATAGAAGGTCGCAACCACAAAGCAACCCCGCCACTCAGGAACCCGCGGATTGCCGCTCAGCCGCTAGCGCACATACCGACCTCCAAGCGGGGCGAAGTACTCCTCATGAAGAGGATGGGCATCCTGCCACCGGCGGCACCAGTTTCATCTGCGTCCAAGCAAACATACGATGCCTTATTCGCAGGGAACGCCATGTCGAGCCACGTTCTAGCTCTAGACGAGTTGTTCCCAACGACCAACAGCAAGACTGGCAGAAGAATGCTCTTCTCGGATGCGGATGGAGGGTCACGCAGCCAGCAACGGAGACTCCCAACCTCATAGGTGGTAGCCCTGCTCTTAGCTGGTTGTAAACCATTTATGTAATATCGAAGCTTGAAAGTGTTTTCTAGGTTGTACGACCTCCTAGGGCGTTCGTCAGTAACGTGTCGTTTGTATGGCTGAACTCTTCTTCTTAATTATAATGATGCACAAGTCTTTTGCGTATTTGAGAAAAAAATTATGCAGCAGGTGCAAATGAGCAAACTTTTTTATGACCCAATCCAAAGTGGTGATCATTATCTATTACCATTTAAAATGTCAGATGTGGCTTAGGGCAGTCCCAATGGTGTATTGATGATAGTTTCTATCCTTATTAATTACTTGTCACGTAGGTAAAATATTGACATGGCAACGTAGTTAATGAAGAAAGAGAGCAAAAATCATAGAAATGGTTTCCTCATGAAGAAACCATGTCTTCTCTTGACCCAATGCATCAAGAAACCATAAAATCGCAATTGGGGAGAAACCACTAGTTTTTAGGGGCTCATGTCACTCCCATTGAAGGAAGAAGATAGAGTTGAGAGATAGAAAGAGAAAATAATTATTACTCATAGAAACCATAGATTAGAAAACAATATTTTTTTTTGTATGATACCCTATATTATACTACTTGTTTTTTTTCGTTGAGACTGCCCTCGATCCACGTTAAATTTCGTGTGTGCGCCCGCCCCGTCCCCAGTCTACGGAACCGAGACCGATGCAGAGTCCAAACCCAGGCCGTTGCATGCCCACATGCAAGCAGTTAGTGTAATACGGAGCCGGATCGGTGTAAAAAAAATCCAAAAAATCCTGATCGGTCTCAAAAAATAACTCTTCGGCCAGATCAAACAGGAACGACGCCTGCTCGGTCTCAAAAAAATCCTGATCGGTCTCAAAAAAATATCTCTTCGGCTATAAATAAAAGTGTCGCCTCACGCCAAATCAAACAGGAACAACGCCAGCTCTCAGGTAATTCTCACCTCTTTGTCTATTAAAAAAACGCCAGCTCTCAGGTAATTTTCCATTCGGCTCAGCTTCGCAACGACGATAAACAAGGCACAGAGATAAACTATCCCTAACGTCGGGGTGTACTTACCGAAACCAGTGTTCTCACACGGCCAGTTATATATAGCGCTATCAAGAGCCACGGCAAGATCGAACATTAGAATCTTAGTCGTGCTAGCTATTGAGAAGGACGTCAACAAGGGAAAGAGAAAGAAGAAACTGGCAAATGATACCGGAACCAGTGTTCTCACACGGCCAGTTATATGTAACGCTATCAAGAGCCACGGCAAAATCGAACATTAGGATCTTGATCGTGCTAGCTATTGAGAAGGACGTTAACAAGGGAAAGAGGAAGAAGAAACTGGCAAATGATATATTCACAAAGAATATCGTTTATAAAGAGGTTCTAACTCTATAAAAGAGGTAATTTCTCTCAGCAATACATATTTTAGTCCATATGATCAACAATAATCTAGCTTTATATATATTAACAACAAAAATATATGCAGGATGCTACCAACACAACTACTACAAACGGAAGGACTACTTGACTGCTGGTGTTGCTGACTCAATAAACAGAATTGCTCATATTAGTTCTAGGCTGTTCAGAACATCACGTTCGAAAATAAATTTTTTATAACACGTTCATACTAGCATTATCATGATATTACATTTTTTCCGTTGCAACGCATAGGTATTTATCTAGTTTATATTAAAAAAGAAAAATCTTAGACTGGACAGTACAATGAAGCGGCGACATCAACTTCAACGGGTTGAGCATCTACAAGAACAACTAAAACAAAGAAACTAACAACGGACAAACTACAATTTATAAAGAAAAGACTGAACAATCTACAACTTCATTAAGCAACGTCTCTCAAATAAAAAATCATCTACTAATACGAGTACACAAAGTGTCTGTGGTACATAAGCTGCAAACTCCAACATGGAAGGCCCCCAAATCTTCTAACTGCTGTCCAAAGGTTGGGTTAAACCTGATATTACTCCGTTCGCGTGCCCTTAAACCCGACTTGATCTGCTTCTTTTTTTATCCGGAACAATATTTTTCTCTCACAAATTCATCCTGAATTTATCCAAATCATCCAAATTCCTCCAGAATCATATGGAGGAATTTGGATGGTTTGGAGTAATCTATGGCGCCGTGCGTGGAGCCATTGTCAGTGCACTGACCGCGCGGAGGGAGTTTAAACACGGTCAAGGTGATGACTCGAGGATGACACAGCACTGTTTCATAGTGTACACGCTAGCTAGCTACAACTACGACTAGGGCCACGTTTAGTTGGAGGCCGGATTCGGCGTTACTGTAGATACACTGTAGCGTTTTGTTTTTATTTGGTAATAATTGTCCAATCGTTGACTAATTAGGCTTAAAACGTTCGGCTCGGCTGGTGGCTAAACTGTGTAATTAGTTTTTGATTTCGTTAACATTTAAACTCGCAATGCATGTACTGTTATATGATGTGATAATTTCTTTTACATAGATAGAATTCATAAAATTTGGGGAACTAGATCAGCCTAGGTACGTAAGCCAGCAAGAGGTGAGGTGAGTCTCTCTGGTAAGCAAGAGCTGTTATTGGTGAGACTTTCTGGTGGGCGGATCGAGTGCACTGCGCGCCAATGGTTTCTTCGCGGACGGACAGTTGGCGCCGGCGGGCGGGGATGACCGATGACGGGTGCTTGCCTTGTGTAGGCTCGGCACCACGGAGGGAGAGGCTGAGATCACCGATGATTGATGTCACTGCGGACTGCACTGCAGCGACGAATGAAGACACAACACGCACCGATGATTGATGTCACTGCGGACTGCACTGCAGCGACGAATGAAGACACAACACGCACTTGAAGTCGAAGAGAAACAGATCGAAACAACCGTCTTACTAGTACATTAATCCGCGCCAGGCGCGACAAGGCTGGTAATTCCACTGTAGCTTGATAACTTTCTGCAAAAAAATACCTCCCTATAAACCCCCTGTTGATGGATTCTGGCAAGCATAAAGAAGACCTAAACCCGATTCTAAAAGCTTCAGCTGCCTCCCTCTCTCCGCCAATGGCTGGTTAGCTCTCTCTCTCTCTCGCTACACCCCTGACCCTTATAAGAAATAACACATGCCATCCCAATTTGAAACATATAAGAGTCATGGTATTCTCCGCATTACCTTACCCTATCTTCACGCACTCAAGGACGAATCTATGATAGTATACTTTATACCCTAAATTTGGAATCTAATCTTTCATAACGTGAATATGTGCTAGTATACTTTTTATCTGAAATCTATTCTTTCATGACGTGAATATGTGTGGTGTTAAGGTAGAAAAAAAAGATCCATCTGCGAGTGGTTCGGCTTATTCCTGAGCAAGGACAGAGCCGTCGAGTGAGGATTGGCTGAGTGTGCTTTCGCTACTCGTGGTAGAGTACTTTTTTAATTATTTACTCTATTATTACCTTATGATGTCATCGGGGTTAAGCCCCGGGTATCGATACTCGGGGGCGGGACTCAAGCGATTCATTCTTTTTCGCACTAACGGAGGACATGAATTCTGGGCAAGTCAGTTTTACTGTCCACCGATAACGACACCGAATTGATCGCTCGCATTGCATGATATACGGAGTACTATGCTCTACCAGCTGAAACGCAATGTCACTGCTAGCTGGTAGCTACCTATAGCTCATACACGACGCCAGAACACCTGCTGGTGTGCTGCATTCTGTTAAAAAACACAAATGATAGATCCACTAGCAATGCAACGATGAACAATTGATGATACAAATACAAACCTACACATAGCTAGACCTCTCCTCATCTCCTCGATGCATTGCCAAAGGCTTACCGAGGCGAGACACAACTAAATTGGGTGACTAAAACGCTGCTACAAACAGAAACTCACTACAAGACGACACCCATCAACTACCTGCACTACTACCTGAAGCAACAAATTAACTAGCTAGCTAGTCCCGATCATCGAAAGCTAAACGAAATTCCTGTGTCAAAGCGAAGCACAGCTAGGACCTAGGAGTGCAAAATGGCGTCCGCCATCCAAGTCGTCGTCGTCGCCGCCGCCGCCGCCAGTCAGTCCTGGAACCCGGTGGCGCGCTTCCACACCGCGTCCCGGACCTTGAGCGTCCTGCCGACGACCCCGTTTATCAGCGACAACGACGCGGCGCGGCGGCGCCACGCCAGCTCGTGGGGCGGCACCAGCGCGTCCACGGAGTCCTCCTCGTCGTCGAGCTCCCAGTCCCCGGCGCCGATGCGGTAGTGGTAGCCCGGGCGGGCGCTGCCCAGGATCTTAGACCAGTCCGGGATCTTCACCGGCAGCGACCCGTGGGCGGCCCTGCCGTCCGACGCCGGCTTCGCCGGCGACGACGCCTTCTGTCCGCCTCGTCGAAGTCCTCGCCCGCGCCAGCGGCGGGGCTCGTCGGCACGACGACGCCGTGCGGCGCCTGCGCGAAGTGGAGGTACGCGGGCGAAGTGGGTCTCGCCATTGTGCGTACTACCACCACGTCTACCGTCGACTACGGGCGAGGGATGGTAGGACCAGGGAGGGGAAAAAGAAATAAGCGCGCGTGTGGAGGAGATGAGCGCGTGCGGAGCTGGAGAGCCGAGAGCGGACAGCGGGTGGAAACGGATAAGGTCGTTTATGCAATGACGGTTTCGCCCTCTGAGCTCTTTAACAACAAACATTCGGATCGCTACGACCCGGAGGACGGGCGGCCACTGATCGCTGGGCCCTGGCGGTGTTTATTCTGATTTCTGAGCCAAGTCCGATTCGGGTAGTGAGGTGCTGCCACGTTGCTACCGGCAGCTGATATTGATCATGTGCCGGGCCCAACGTTTTCGTTTTTATAATGAACCAGAAAGCCAGGGCTTGTTTGGCACAGCTTAACTTTATAAGTAAAGTTGTTTATTAGAAAATAGTTTTATAAGCAACTTTCTAGGTGAAGCTGAGCTGTTTTGGAAAAAATTATTTAACAAAACAGCTTCATCAACAGCTTCATGCATGGGATGGGAGAGAGAAATGAGGAAAAGAGTTAGGATAAGCAACTTTCACTACCACAGATCTGGACATCACTGCCAGTTTAAAAACCCACTTCACTGCCGGATTTTGAACCGACAGTGGCATACCGGCAGTGATAGGGGTTGACATCACTGCCGGTCCTTAAAAACCGACACTGATCTACAGGAAACAGTGTCGGTTCCTGGCTCCACCCGGTAGTGTCCAGTTGAACAACACTGTCGGTTTGTAGTGTCAACCAACAGTGCTGTTGCTTCAAGAGTGTCGGTTCTTGGCTCAAGCCAGCAGTGTTGAGTAAGCCTATACTATCGGTTCATAGATCAAACCGGTAGTGTTGTAGTAAATATCAGTGTCAGTTCATAGATCAAACCGGCAGTGTTGTCGTAACTATCAGTGTCGGTTCATGGTTCAAGCTGGCAGTGTTGAGCAAGCCAACACTGTTGGTTTATTTCTAACCGGCAGTGATGGTTACGACAACACTGCCGGTTTATTGCTAATCGGCGGTGATGGCCCGTTCGTATTTTATTGTTTTATAATTTATTTTAATTTATATTTTTTATGGAATCGGGTTTCGCTTTATATACGCTACGTAGATGACAGGTCCATCAATATTAAACATTACAAATGTTACGATTACAATACAAATGTTCTTATCCACATCTCGATCCCTCAAAATAAAAAAGAAATGTTCTTGGACTTCACACATGCTTCTCGGACTTCTTACAATAATCTGACGAGCCGCTCTGGGTCATACTGGTCCTTGTACTTCATGGATTGTGCAATGGAAAATACTCCATCTTTTTCCAATATCTCGGCTAAGATGAATTTTGCCAGCTCCGATTGCAGTGCGATGATCTCCATGTCTAACAGCCTTTCGTGGTTATATTTCTTGCGCTGTCGTTAAAAAAGATGATATCCAAAGAGAAACAGTAAATTATTTTGTTGAGTTATTAACAGACATAAATGAAATGGAGATTATACACACCAACTTATCGGCTTTTTTCGATTTTCCGTCGATATAGCGAAGCATTGCCCACATTACATAAAACCCGCATTCATTGTTTTCCACCGGCTGTGATAGGTACTTCCCCTCTATTTCGACAACCTTGAATGAGACCGGCGTCCCACCGATATGTCTTCTTCGGACATTGAGCAACATTAAAAGGAGAAACATTAGAAAGCGGTATGTGTGATTAGAAAATAATATGTTATTAGGATCGCTTACTAATTCAGCACTGTCACCAGTGCATCCAGATGATGAAATCGTTTTTTCTTTGAGTCCCACACCTCGAGCAGATTTTTGGCAAGATTAACACAAATGAAGACGAAATGGTTGCTGCAATCATAGAATCATAATTATCGAATAATCTTAACGAAAAAAGAAGCATAAAATTAAAAGCCGAGAACACATACTCGCAGTTGTAGGCTAGAAGTATGTGTGTTTTCTTCTTCATCGTGAATTCGTCGAAAATAGCAATAAATCTCTGTTTCAGGTCTTCCACATCACATCCATAGAGGCCTAGACATGTCCCCTCGTTGACTCGCATGGGGTCTAAGAAGCCTATGTAATCCTATTTGTTTTTTTCTTGACTAACTCCCTATCATACTCGGTTGGGAAAGTGAAATACTTTGGGATCTTGACATCCCATATGTAATTCTTCTCGCTTTCGAGAACCCTCCACTGGTCATCATCTTTCCCAATCCACTTCCTGTATTTAATCGGGATGAAGTCCCTAACAAGTAACCCGAGTATAGTCTTGTATTTGGTCAAAGCTATATGCGGTGAGAGTGGATCCCCGAATTCATCGAACTCAGTAATGTGCCAGTGTGCATTCCTACCCACAGGAATCTTTGACACGTCTCGCTTGGATCTGGCCTTCCTGCTACCCGAACCCTCTGGCTCCTCGACCGACGGAGGCTCCGTCTAGAGACACCAAGTAAGCTATGACCCTCTCAACTGATTAGCGTGTGTGGCTACATAGTCACATGGTACCAAAGTTACCTGGCCATATTGGTCATTTTGACCCAGATCGAGCAGGCTGGACGGGGTCCATGGCTGCTCGTTCTCACCGACCTGATTGACATCGTCACCGTTTGTCGGATCATGCGGCTCTCCGATCCCAGCGATATCAGCCGCTTCTTGTTGCCGATCTGTTCTTCGGCAACGGGGTAACAGGCGACGATGAGTCATGGCTGTGACACGATCATGGTTAGTTTTGGCCGTGGACAACTACTAATAGCATATGTTCATATATATAATATATTTAATGCAAAGTCTAATAATAAATCAACATACAACAAAGTCAAATAATAGCATATGTTCACCTAGAACAAATTCATTGTTTGATTGACCACGTACAACAAAGTCCACATACTGTTATACGAAACTAAGCCTACATCAACTTCAAAAATAAGAAAAGCGATGACCATAGCTATAAATAAAAGCATGACATCTTTCCAAGACCAAGGAGCAATTCTTCTAATCTTCACATCTCCGGCGGGTGGCTTCTCTTCGATCTCTAGTACCAGCGGATGACCATGGTTTACATTCATTGGACCATAGTGGGCCGGTTGCCCATGGTTTGCAAGGTAGGCCGGATGACTATAGTAGGTCTTCAAAACTTTAGCTTTTGTGTTGTATTTTTTGTGTAAATTACCAGGGTAGCGATTGACTTGAGCATAGCAATCTTCCAAGGTTCGATAAATCCCAAGCATGTGACCAACATGCACTACATACCATGCCATGGTTGCCTATACATTTAAGTAAATTAGGCATGTGGTAAGTGGTAATGGTAACTCACTGAACAAGAGTTATTATTCAAGTTATATGGCCAAACTAAATCTATTTAATATTCTTTATCCTTGACATGATAAAAAAATAACCTCAATAATTGGACTGTTTATTATTCGGAGATCAATGTGGTTTAGTAATCATACTTGCTGCTGCCGCCGAGCCAATTTTAAAAGTTCTTTTTAACTTTTTTTCTGGAACAAACATCTATAGATGCCTTTTTTTAAGCATGCTATACATTCCATCAAAATCAATTGACACTCTACCTATAGCAATTATACCTGTACACATTTGATAAGAATCCATCATTGCTTAAGCAAAAGCAGAAATTCTTATCTAACTCTTACACAAACAGAACACTCCCTACCGTCATAAATAAGATGTCCACAGTCATTAACGTGTACCTTTGACTGCTGGTTTCCATTGCTTGCAATAATTACAAAGTACAGAGATATCATAACATTATGCAACTGCTATTCGAGACAGATATGCTCATATCATTGTCACATATTCAATCTAACTATGTCAAGAGGTGTTAATGATCAATGTTTAAATACTTAGACTGCACACAGCGTAAAAGGTCACTTAGCTGTGACTCGAGGGAATAACTTGTTACGACAACAGGCAAATAACACCAATGGTTTTTAAACAGTTTAGGGCCATGATTATTATGTCCTCAACAAATCAGTAGGTAGCATAATCTCTTCAGGGAAAAACTAACTGGTTTATGTAACAGCATGTACATATAAGGATAGCTAAACCAAGGAGTAACAGCATGTAACTCAATCGAATAGGAATCGACTACTATTGGGAAGACAACAACCGTGAGGCATTTCATCTAACACTTAGCGGGCAGTGAGCCACCCACTCACTGTCGAGGTAGGAAAGCAGCTGTCCGCGCATGCTCCTGAAGGCCTCGGCGGTGCTCCAGCGTCGGGCGGTGGACGGCGTGGGGCGGTGCACAGGCGTCGGCGTCGAAGAAGAGGAGCGCGGGGCTAGGAACGGCGGCGCAGGGAGAGGTGGACAGGTGCTCCGGCGTGGGGCGGTGCACGGGCCTCGGCATCGAAGAAGAGGAGCACGGGGCTGGGAACGGCGGCGCGGGGGGCGGTGGACGGGTGCTCCAGCGTGGGGCGGTGCACGGGCATCAGCGTCGAAGAAGAGGAGTGCGGGGCTGAGAACGGTTGGCGTGGGGTTGAAATTTGGATAATTTCAACCCGTGGCGGGCTTTTATACCAGACCTCATCACTGCCGGTTCTAAGTAGAAACCGACAGTGATGGGGGTACATCACTGCCGATTATAAGTAGAAACCGACAGTGATGGGGGTACATCACTGCCGGGCTATTCTTTAAACCGGAAGTGATTGCCGTGTAACGGTTACAGCATAAGTAACTTAACTTTTCTACTTCTTTCGAATACCTCCTACTGGCTCAACGGTTAAGACCCCGCAACTTAGCCCCCGATACCTGTGTTCGAATCCCGGGCGGCCTAATTTTTTGGTTTAATTTTATAATTTATTAAGCGGTCTAAAGGTAAAAAAGATAAAATAAATAAACTTTGGCATACATCTTATACTAGCGCAGCGGTTAAGTGTCTGAACTCTGTAGCCCGAGATCCGAGCTCAAACCCGAGGGCTTGCACATTTTTTTTAATTTTTTATATATCACTGCCGGTTTTCAAAATAAACCGACAGTGATAACAAGCATCACTGTCGATTTCTTCTCATCACTGCCGGTTTTTTGAAACCGACAATGATGTTTATATATATTAAAAAAATTCTTTTATATACTAAATAAATAGAAGCATATGTATTCCTATGTTAAAATGGTTTGAACATTTTTTGGCAAGCTTGTACACCCAAATTAAGATCCCACACATGA